GACCACAATATTAAATTTGTAACATGCTTATAATTTTATATTAAATGATATACGTTTTTAAGTGATAAAATAACTTGCCTATTATAATATTCTTATTGTATTATAAAGATAATGAGATGGTGAAAAAATATGACAGGCAAAACACTGTTCCTCTCATAACTTACCTTCTAGATTATCCAGAAGCAAACTTATTATGTTCGGAAAATAAACTAAATTAAAACATCTAAGCATAAAGTGTGTGAACTTATGAAGGCAATACTTAAACTTCAGCTTTAGGGTTTTAAAAGAAACATGAGTTTTACAGACAAATAAAACACAAGAATACAAACTATCAAGTTATTTCTACGAGGAAAACTATATTTTGCATCTTAATTGCAATACGATTAAAAGGTATTATAGAAGTTTTGTTGTTTTAGAAAAAAATTTAATTCAGAATTATAAGGTGTCTTAGATGACAAGTAAAATTAAAAGTTAACACTACATTGCGGGGTGAACAAAAGTCGTATACAGACAATAACGAATTATATAGTTATAATTTAATCTAAATGTTTCATACACTTAAAAAACTATTCGAAAATTCCTATTACTCTTGATGATGATATAAACGGTGTTACTGACTCGTCAATCTGCTTCACTTTATTGTAAGTCATTACTATCATATACTGTGGAAAGTAGTAATGATTGTTGTGGACTGGGTTGAATAATTTCTTAAGTCAGTTGGAAAACAGAATTCTACAGGTTTCTTGAAATATCCGACTTTAGAATTTATTCTTGAAATTTAAGGCCTTTTGATTATGATCATTTATAAATCTGTTTAAATGATTGCTGAATATTTGTTAAAACTAATCTTAGAACGATTTTGTGCCAATTGTGAAGAATCCAAGACTAGATACAAACTTATTCATTCGAATACTAGTGATCTTTAATCATATTTTACGTTTATTATTCTCTCTTTGTACTTGTGGAAAGTGTGATGTCACAAAATAAGCCACTATTTTAAGAACAATTACTTTGGTTATTTCACCCGTTTGTGTCATTCGTTATTGATAAACTTTTATTATGACAACTGGCATGAATTCTAAAATACCACCATACCTTTGTAAAATGAAACTATATATATATATATATATATATATATATATATATATATATATTACGTTGATTATTGGGATCCATTTATGGACCAACACTATGCGTATATTTCTATCGTATAATTATTAAATAACTAAACTATACATATTCATGTCCCTCTTATTATGAGCTTTATTTTGACCTATGAACTATTATTATATCATTTGTCACTCTTAAATTATACCTTGTCTATTAATTACTACCTCCCTCATTCACAGCCACATTTGGCCAAATCTTGTACAAATGTTGTTTCCTATTTTATGGTACAGTGTGGTCTGTCTGGTTGGTCTATAAACCTAGTATGTTTGAAATAAATAATTCGTATTGCAGAGGCTGAGTTTGGTGTTCTGGACTTAATTGGCTGGGGTAGGCAGGAAGCAGGAGTGATAAGTACTTTAGACTGCTCATACAGGTTTTATGTGTCATTGGTCGGATCTATGATTCACTGCTCTCTAATTGGTGGTATCATTACGTTATACATTAACAGGGCACTCAGGCCATAAGTTATAACAATTATGTAGCGCAGAATCGCGCCATAGTATTTAGGTGGTGTACCAGATTCATTTTATATAAATAATTCGTGCTTGAAATTACAAATGGTTTGAGCTTCTGGTATGTATATGTTGCTAAGAGGTAAACTTCTTGGAATGTAGGACTGAATCTTGAAAGATGTACCAAAAGCAGAAACTCAGTTATATCTTGATCTGTTATATGTTTCAGAATAAAGGATGTAATTGGTGCTCTTTTGTCGTTTCCTAAATCATTTTTTGAGATTGTCAGGAACATACTATAGAACATACTGATGGTGGGCAGTTTAACAGTGTTTTTATGTGAAAAGTGATCTACACTGGTAAATGTGTTAACATGGATATTTACCGTTGGCAGTGGGATTTAGAACATATATTTCTTCGTATTTGATATTTATTGTTGGACTTTACCTTTATGAGATGTTATTTCAGTCGGAACTCAAACTCAACATGTAAAAAGCCAGAAAGTTGTTCAATAAGCTACTGAGTCGTGATAATTGCCACATATTCAATTAGTATTTCGGGTTATTTTAGCTGCTAGGTATTACTGGAAATATAATCACCATTCAAAAATAAATCATACCAAGACTTCTTTCCGCGAAGCCCACTTGTTGGCACTGATAAAAATAGTATCTATTTAATTTAAAAATGATTAGGTTAGCCTGATTTAGTTGGTTTATAACTGTAATCTTGATTTTCATACTGTGAATGGGTCTACTACATATATCAGACATATTCAGAAGTGGTGCAGATTATTATTTGAAGGCATGCAATAGAAATTGGTTTTCCAATAAGTTTGTGTATAATTTAAAAGTGAATGAACTTCTTGTGTATTTAAAAACCGCAGGGACGAAGGTAGGAAAAGTAAAAGTAACAATAAAATCTTGAAGAAAATAATAGTAAGATATCATTATCAAATTTTAATAGGTAGTCACTTTACAGCTCTGTTTTGATTTTCAGACATGAATAATTCATGTTTGGATAAAATATTGCAAGTATTACATTTTATTAGAGCTTCGGTACGTAGTAACGTATAATACACCACTGCCTATCTGTTTTTCTCAAGCTTCTTTTTAATGAGTAAGGATTGCTAACCCCGTACCACCAGTAACCCTAGAAAAGCTCCAGGTAGATGATAACAGTAAAGAATGAAAAACTGCTAAGCTAGACTATGAATATCACGTCTGTTTGGCAGGAAACTTCTAATGATGGCGACTGATTATAATGGCTGTAATATTTATTTAAATAAGCAGAATGTGATCTAATATTTAATCGGGTTCAATATGGATTAAATCAAATGAAGTCTAAACTAGGGCATGAAATTACAAATTTAGGTATATTCTCCAAACCTTCATGTTCTAGAGAATTCATTTAGTTATTATAGGCAAAATCGGTTAACTTTTATCATTCCTAAAGAGAAGGTCAAATCTGAAATAAAGAACATTGAGATAACTTTAAGAAGAAGATGGTTCGAAACGTTCTTCCACCAATAAAAAATAAATCGAATCGAAAATGCAAGTTCCTTACAATTTACAGAAAAGAACATATATTCTTGTGTAAACTCCTTCGAACCATGTAGAGAAACTAGACTAAATGTTATACAGACCAATGTAAATCTCAGGACTCTGAGGTATGGTAGAAAGATTTAGACAAAGTTTGTAATGAAAACCGACTTTTAATAGAAATTACACACAGAAACATTCAATCAATAAATTAGAAATGATACTTTACACTTTTTGTTTGGCAGTTGAACTGAACTGATGTTCTGATAAAAAATTAGTCACTGCACCACACCCTGTATCCTTATGTTCACTTATTAATTAACAATCTTTTCATCGTTTTACCAATCGAAAATTCGTTCATTAAATAATTAAAATGTCTTTCACAATAAATAGCTAAGTCAACATACGAAAATGTTTGGTTTTTAATGTAACTACAAACAGATAGTAATTCAAAGTAAAAAGGAAGGCCAACTCTTATTGCTAAGATAATTACCGGTAAAAAAAAAAGAAAAATAACAGAGTAATTGACAAACACTTTAAATGGAGATTAAAATAACAAAAATTCAATAAATTTTTTGAATGTGATTTATATCATTTAAAGTTCTTTTTAAACTCAGGAAATTAAATAAATTGGTAGGAAAATTAATTCTCCTTCACTATAAACATAAAAATTTATTTATTTAATTAAAACTTTAGCTCGAAGCAATCTCTTTACAGTATCTATGTCAAAATGAGACTAATTTTTGTTATAACTTATGGCCTGAGTGCCCTGTTAATGTATAACGTAATGATACCACCAATTAGAGAGCAGTGAATCATAGATCCGACCAATGACACATAAAACCTGTATGAGCAGTCTAAAGTACTTATCACTCCTGCTTCCTGCCTACCCCAGCCAATTAAGTCCAGAACACCAAACTCAGCCTCTGCAATACGAATTATTTATTTCAAACATACTAGGTTTATAGACCAACCAGACAGACCACACTGTACCATAAAATAGGAAACAACATTTGTACAAGATTTGGCCAAATGTGGCTGTGAATGAGGGAGGTAGTAATTAATAGACAAGGTATAATTTAAGAGTGACAAATGGTATAATAATAGTTCATAGGTCAAAATAAAGCTCATAATAAGAGGGACATGAATATGTATAGTTTAGTTATTTAATAATTATACGATAGAAATATACGCATAGTGTTGGTCCATAAATGGATCCCAAAAGTTACCATTCATTATGCTTATCGGGACACAACAATTTCATTATTAGAATGGATTGGAAGCATTTTTTTGTATTTAGATTAAGTAGTTGTACATACATATTTCATGAAACTTATATTACTTATATGCTTGAGTATCAAAGAAATACAAAGATAAATAATAGATTGTTTCTATTTTCAAATATATATCCAGTAGTATCATTTCTTGCCTTGATCTTTAAATATAAATTAAAAAAGAAGCACATTTAATTGTAACACCATTAATTTGAAAACGTGTTCATACTTTTCTTTGAATGTTCTTTTTACCGCCGAACTCAATTAATGTCAATTTTTACATTTCTAAATAAATTATTGACCAGTTGTTTTTAAATGTAATAAATATTATAAAATTTCTCGTGGTATACTACATGTTTCCCAGAAATTATCTTTTAAATGTTGAGCGCACTGAACAATACAAAATCTGTTTTGATTTCTTCTTTACTAACATATATATTGTGGAAAGTAAGGGGTAAATTAATAATGTTGATTATTTCTTATATTTCATAACTTTCTCTCATGTAATTTATTAGGTCTTCTACTCATTGTAGTCTGTTTCCTTCACTGCTGCTGAACATACTACTATGTATAACCTACATTATTCGGTGAAGCCTTGTCAAAATAAACCCCTTCAATATAAATTTGACAAAAGATACCAGGATGCCCATTTAAAGGCGGTAAGTTTTTTATTAAATGTTTATTTATTGTCATTATCCATAGTTATCGAGTTAACAGAGTGGCTGAATGAATGTTTAACTATTATAACGGAAGAAGATTTGTATGAGTTGTGATATGTGTGGTCTATCGCTTGACTTGATAGCTAATAGCAAATCTAAATTATTGATTCAATGGCCCACGATGAATGAATATCAAATGATAGCCAACGGTCAGCAAAATATGAGTCGTTTGATTTAACAAAAAGCATACCAAATACTTAACACAAAACATACATAGTTAATATTTATCCAAAATGTAAGTGACTATCAGATTTAGATTTCATTTGTTGTTAACAAATCAGTATACGTGCTGGTTTATGATCACTTTATGTAATTCACGAACTGCAGTTATGCTTAACTACCAATTTATTTTGATCAAGAACTTTGAGATATGACGTACATCCTTCATTGATGTTTCCAGAATGTCCGTGACATCAGAATGTTAGAGTAAATGGGTGATTTGATAATCCTTTATAACTTCTATGATGATTTTGGACAATTATCACATTCGACGAGTAATTCAAGAGAACGACGAATTTTAACAAATCAATGTAATTTCTTTCAGGAGATATAGTGAAAGTGGGCCTGAAATGAGTTTGATAGAGCTCTAGCATTTGATTTGGAATAAAGATATGATCGGTGAGCACGAGGTGTGAAACCAAACCAAACTCTAACTAGCAAGTCAGATGTTTACTTTTGTGCAATCTTTAGAGAATCGTGAGAGCCAGCGGTTTCAGTATCACTGAGAATAGACAGACACCTTGATGCATTATGTAGGGGTTTTTATACATATATATAATATGCTTTCCTTTTACTACCTTTCCGAAAATACTAAACAGATATGTGACCCGTATATCAATTCAACCCTTGGAAATGCCATTTGTGAGTTATGTGGGTCCATGAAACTGCGCCCTTTCAAAAGTAAAAATTGTTTTCTCGTCTTTTATTTTTTGTTTAGATAGGTAGTAATTAGGTTTTTTGAGGGGGGGAAGAGAAATAATGTATTTGAGACTGTTTAGAAGATAAACTAGTTCATTTATATTCTAAAAATCTTTATCTATAAATTAAGGTATCTTTGAGGATTTATGCGTGATGTGCAGCTACCTTCACCAAATATTTAACGAAACCAAAACATCTTACTGATGGTTGCCTTAAAGAGCTAGAATATCCTCTTCAGTCACCAGTGTATCCTGCTTCCGAAAGGACAGCGCACTCTAATTACATGGTTCAATGATCTTCACACAAGCGTTGAGATATTTTTTCACACTAAATAGATTTGTGGGTAATAAGAAATTATAATAAACCTAAAAAGTCCAAGTCCTTATACATGCGAAACTGTGGTCCATTCCCTTCACTATTTTTGGAGTTTTATAATTGTAATCAATTTTAATCTACTATTTGAATTAACTAACAACTTTTAATATAACTTGTCCTAATATTTGATTGGTAAAGCAAAGTTGGTTCACTTTCACGTAGTCATCTATTTACGAATTAATACAAAAAATTAAAGGGATGAAGATGAAGAACGAATGTTTACTAATCCATTGAAGTCTTGTATACAGCATTCTAAGATATGTTCAGTACGTATACAATGAAACTTCCTGGTTTTTTGATAAAAGTTGGCTTTTGTTCGTTCTACATCATAGTACGATTTCAATTATGATAAGTTTAATTAGCAAATTAAGTAGCCAAAAACTAAAAGAATATGGAACTTTGGAGAATGTAGTGTCAGTTATAAATATCAAACTCAACAACCTTAATAATAAAATTAGTTAAATCCATAAACTATAAAGTACGTCGTTTTGACAAGTCAAATCTTTATGTACACCTGCAAAATCAAAATGATTGTATTTCGCTAATATTAGATTTTCATATTCTGTCGGTTCAAAAATTATAAAGTGGCGTTATGTAGACGGTAATACTCATGTAACCCTTTGAAATTGACTTAGTGAGCAAGAATCAATTTATTAACTTATATTAATAGTCTTGGTGTGATTACTTATAAGCGACTTCAAGAGGTGATTCTCGGAATTCTATTGAGAGGCCATGATCAGTGGAAATATTCGCCAATGCTATCGGACGATAGTCGTGCAGTATCGCGCATGGCCTGAAATTAGAATTGTGAGTCATTATATGCCAAATCAGTAGTCTAAAAGCTAGAGACCCATTGAGATATATGCATTTCATGGGTTCTATCTCTGGAAAGGTCGCATTGCTGGTGATTTATATGCTAAAATACTCCTAACTGTTCTTCAATCTATGTCTAGACAAAGTTATTCTGTGTTGCGAGAATCTAAATGACCCTAAACGTTCTAAATTTTGTATGGGTGACACAAAAAACAACACTCAAATATTCAAATATATTTCGACGATTTTTAATCCAAGATTCATTTTTTTTATGTTAGATTTCATTTTAGCAGTAAATCCATTTTCATATTAAAGTATAAAATTATAACTATATATAAGATTTTTACGTTAACAGTCTAGTGGATTAAATGTAGACTTTATTAAAAGCTGAAAAGGAACAATATTTTGAAAATACAGAAAACTACATTGAATAAGAAAATGAAAATGCTAGAAGAAAGGAAGATAAAGTCAAAAGTTATACACATAAAATCAGGGTTAAAATAAAAATGTGTATTGTACTACTTGAATATTACGGGCAATCGCTAATTTACCCATGCCAACACATAACTTTTTCTCATTTCAAAAGCATAGAAAACTTAATAGTAAATAAAAATAGTGTTAATTTTATTAAATATTTCTGATCAATTTAATATCGTTAGTTAGCATATCATTCATTGTTAAGATTCGATTGGTTTTCCTGTGAAAACTCAGGTGAATATTGTTTTGTATTTTTGAATAATAAAACCAAAATCAGAATGTTATCAAATGTTTATGATTGACAAAATTTCACAAATTTTATAGCTAGTTCGTTAGGTATATCATTTATTGAAATAGTATCATTTGTTTTCATATAAACATGTCTCTTACACATTAATGCAAATACTTATTTATAAAAAATCCTTCACGTTGATTGGATGACTTATTCAGTATACAGTAAACCGAAGAACCATGTACCTATTTATATTCGATAATTTTGTTGTTTGATTATATTTTCCTTGAAAAAGCTTGGACCAGATTGCCAGGCGAAACGTTGAATTTACTTAAAATTCATTCGCTGAGATTTTACAAATATATTCTTCTATTTAATGTCTCAAATGAACTCGGCGCCTAAATATTGTGAAACTATTCGTTCAAATTTAGACGAAAGTTCTTATTTAGTATTATTTACCTAGTAATACTTCATAATGAACTCTGTAATCATATTGTAGTGAACGAGAACACAAATGAGGACAATCAAATGTATTTGAATACAAAATTACAGGATGTCTTAGTAAAATCTGAGAACCATACAGTAAATATTTATTTTGCAAAATTTCAATCAATTGTCTCAAACTTGACTATTAATTTTGCGAACGTCAATCAATCGTTTCAGATCTCAATGTTCCTTCACTTCCATAGCAATCATTCTCTGTTCTTGTTCTCTTTTCTTTGATCTTAACCTTCTGCCTACAGGCATTTCACTTTCGATTGATGATACATACTACTTATGAGTAGCACACACCACAATATGAAAATGTTACATATAATGTGAATATGAAAAATAATAACATTTAAAACAATTAGTCCCTTTGATAAATTCGATAATGTAATAAAAAGACGAAAATTATCAGAACTAAGTGATATATTAGTGCAATACATTTCGAACAATCTGATCACACATATACTTGTTAAGAGCATTTCTACAATCAAGTAACCCAATAAGAGCAGAGGATAAACATCCATCATCCTCTATTGCTAAACATATAATTGAAACAGGTCATAAGACTGATCTAAACTTGACTTTTGTGGTGTTGTATAAAAGTGTAAAAGGGCGTACACTAAGGTTTATTGAAGCCTTATCCATACGAAAATTCAAATCCCCTTTATGTGTTCAAAAACAGTTTGTTCTTACCTTAAACCTACCCTGGTAATATTGACTTATTATCCAGAGTGATTAGGTTTCAAATTGTGTTCACATTATTATTATTATTACTCTTATCATTATCCTTATCTCCTCTTACCCCGTTTCCTGTCTAGTTGACCTTTTATTTTTATATATAAATGCTCTTAACAAGTATATGTGTGATCAGATTGTTCGAAATGTTTTGCGCTAATATATCACTTAGTTCTGATAATCTTCATCTTCTTATTACATTATCGAAATAATAACATTGTTTCACTTCAAATTGTGTAAATTAACGATTATAAAATATTCAACTTACAATGTTTAAAAACCTAACTTTACAATAAATTTATGATAATAGAATAAAGAAATTTTTTTTAACATTTTCTATTATCTTATATTGAATGTTGTGTATATTATCATTGGATAACTTTTTCTTTTGTTGTCAATCATATGGTTGATATTTTTTTTTATTGTTATTGATTCTTTCAATATGATTTGAGTTCAGTTAGCTAAAATGAAATCAACAGTGGATACAACTGCACCAAAAACATTTCAGATTATTCATTTAAATTCTAAAAAAGACAGAGTAAGTAGTCTAATAAATAGTTAAAGATAAATAATCAACAATTAAATTAATTATCAAATTACTTTCTAAATTGAAATCAATAATCCAATTACAATTACATAAATAAATATTAATGACTAGATTGAAAAAGAAAATTTCAAAAGAATAACAGAAGAAAATAACCGTCTTTTGAAGAGGATGCATGAAATTCAGAAACATGGTATTATGGGCAATGAAAATGATCAGTATATAGAAAAAAGGTTAATATATTTTATATAATATTCCAATTGAACATTTACATCTATTTATAGTAATACAAATAGTACAAATTATTATTTTATTGTTTAACTGTTTCTTTCTCAATTGGATCATTTTAGCTTAAATGAAGAACAAAGACTGAAAGAAGTCAAGCGAGTAACTCAAGAAAATAAAGAAATTCTTAAAAGGCTGAAGAATTCAAAAAACTTATATAATCGAGAGAATTGGGAATATGATTGGGCGAATACTCTTAAATACATGACTAACATATCAAAATTTACTATGTATCATCAAAAATCAGTATGTTTATTCTAATGTGTATTTAATGAATGTTTATATAAATAACCAGCCAATTGGTTTTCGTAAATATAGTACACCGGATTACATTTTCCTAAATATTTTTTTATGTTTGAATAACTGTTTGATTAAATTAATGTTCAAATATAAGATTAATGACCTATAGTTTTGGAATTCACATATTTCCCCTTAGATTAATCACAGTTGACTGATTGTTTTTAACAAGTTATATGTATTTACTAAGAAAATGTCAAGTTAGACATATGTGCCTGGTCCTACGTTGTAGCTGACTGACTGAATATATGATAGAACATCCATGGAATTGAGTACAGGTTACTGATAAAAGTATCCGTTTGAAATCTCTAGTAAGACTTAACAGTCAACTTATTCTATATTCTGAAATCTGAGAAATATTAAGAATTTAATTGATTTGTTTTGAATACATAAATCTTGACTATATTTGAGAACACAAAACTGTCTGAACTAATTCATTTAAAATAATTGCTTTATACACTCTGTTGTAATAATTATATTTAATATTACTCTATTTCACTGTTACATTTTATGGATCATTTAATAATGATTAATTAGTGAGCAAAGAATGTGGTCTAAACTTCAAATCTCTGTATTACTGAAGAATACTTTTGCCACATAAAACATGATCAGTGTTTCAGGATTCATTTTTATTGTTTACTTGATAATATCTATTTTTTCACTCAAACACAGTCACGTACTCCAGGCAGCTATAGAGATATTACAAACACATAAATCCTGAAACGAGAACATTTTTATGGGAAAATATAAAAATGAATGGGTGTTACTAGAAAAAAAAACATAAAGTCAATACTCAAAAATTTACAAAAACAATATGATCTTTAATTCACTTGATATTGTTTTACTTGAATCTTCCCATTGCCAATAAGAGACTGATCAATTTCAGTCCTAAAACATCAATGGGAAGATTCAAGTAAAACAATATCAAGTGAATTAAACTTCACCCCATTGCACAAGCAAGTGGTTATCAGGATTCAGTAGCTAAGTGGATAACGCGATGGCGTTAGAAGCGAACGGTACTGAGTTCGAGTCCCAGAGTGAACATCAACTCAGATGCAGGTACATCCACCTGACGAGTCCCAAACAGGACGAAACGCGCGTCCTAGATTCCACTGCTAGCCACTATCCATCTTTGCTTATAATATGATCTTTGTTAAAAGATATTTAGGTTTAATAACAAGTACTATCTATTGATTTACTTCAGAAACTTCAGTTCTTTAAATATATGAACGTTTGACATTAATATTTCTCCTGTTTCATGACAAGTGATTTGTTCGGTATATGAATGTATTCAAATAAAGAGTTAGAGGCAGAAGAAAATTAGCGTCAAGTTAGAGGTTTCAAGTGCATTAAAAATAAATAATATTTTAAAGTTTAGCGTGATTAGCACTGGTTAATAATTTCGGACTCTTCAGCAATCCCCATGGAAAGCTTCCTAATGAATCAAACTCAGAACGTTAAGATTTCATGATGAGTACGGCACTACTATGTTGCAGAATTCGTACTCGATAGTTAAAATTCTCTGCTTCAGTCGACTGACGACCATCTATCTGAGGAATCAGCTGTATATATTTTTCATTAAACACGTGACTGAACTATGTTTATCATGGCTTCTCACTAGAATTTCACCATTTCTTCGCTAAACTAGTCTTTAGTAAGCACGCGTTTGTTACAGTGATGAAATATAATTTGAATTTGACTACCCATCTTAAGCAGGATTCTTGTTGAGGCCTGTGAAAAAGCTGTGATACGTAGTTCGAGACAGTAACAATCGAGAATGATCTCTGTAGTTATATTGTTTGATCTTTTTTCTAATTTTTAGCTTTCCTAGTACTATGAGCATTCTTTCACTTCTCTTTTTGGTAATGTTTTTGAAATTTACTTATTTCATGTTTGATGGTGCAAATCTACACACACGTTTACGCCATATTTCACGCTAATGACGTTTTTTCGAACTTGGATATGAGTTAAATGAACCAAACACGTTGTTAACAATCATTTACAGTTGAAAGTATGTTTCAATCAAATGATCTACCAAACTGCTTCCGAGCATTTATTTTAAAAAAAGATGGAACAAAGAGATAATAATAATAATAATAATAATAATAATAATAGGACGTAAAGGCAGCCCAGTAGTCAGCAAAGCATTGCTAATACAGGAGGCTATGAGCCTATTGGCTTTGGCCTGTAAGAAGAATGATGGCATATGCGCCGACAACACGGGCACTGACAGTGACGAATGTGTCAGTGTTGTTACGCGACGCCTTAAACAACCGACTCTGACCGACGTAAAAGTGAAATCTCCGTTGATATTAACAGGGGGAGTAGTACCACCTAGTACTGATACTGTTAATAATGCACCTTTAGTGGGAACCGAAGATCTGGATAAAACAGTCACCGTTCCAAATAGTCCCAGTGTTATGAGGGATAAAAAATGGACTACGGTACGTAGGAAACGAAACGAAAAGAAAAAAGCTGTAAGCAGTACACAGGTAGTTAGTAACTCACTGGTGGAATCAAATTGTGAGCCACAAATTGCACTACCAAGATCTGATCGTAAGAGTGAAGCCCATCCTGGCGTAACTGAGAAGAAAAATCTAATAACATCGAATATTATTGTGAGCAAATTGCGGGAGTCAAATGACCCTGATCCGAAAATTAGACACGCGCATGACTTAGAAAAGCTAGGAGAATACATTCGTAGTATTTTACCAGATAACTCCAAAGGAGTTCAGGTTAAAAAGTTGGTAAGAATAGGCAAGAGGACCAGGGACGATGTTGAACCCCGTCCATGCAGACTCCTTAGGGTAATCCTAGGATCGGAGAAGCAACGGGATCTCTTGTTAAGTAGCGCTCGTTGTCACGACAATTCTGACATCCGAGTGAGACCTGACATATCTCTCGAAGATAGAATAAAAAGGAGGAAAGCACTAACTGAACTTGAAACCCGTCGGCAAAACGGCGAGGAAAATCTCCGGCTAGTGGGTTTTCGGATAGTCAGGTCATGGAAGCGAATGCTACCAAGGCCTGTGTGGATAGACTGTTCTACTTAGGAGTTTTATATGCCAACGCTCGTAGTCTACGAAATAAGTTCTATGAACTGGAAGCACTAGTGGACAGGTTAAAGCCACTCATAGTAGCAGTGACAGAAACTTGGTTAGTCGATGACTTAGATATTACTCCAGAATTATCCGGATTCCATTGCATCAGGAGTGATAGACATAGATGTAGGAAAGGAGGCGGCGTGTTGTTATACATAGCCAATAGCATAAATATCCGCTCCTCTACTAGCGAATCCCATGATAGCGGCACTTGTGAAGTCATTAGCTGTAAGTTGGCTATAGGATGTAGTACATTTATGCTAGGTGTCATCTATCGGAGCCCAATCTGCCTGGCTGATGACTTTGTTTTAGAGCACATTCATCTTTGGAGTGAAAATACCAGATGTTTGATAATAGGAGACTTCAATGCACCTGATATTAGTTGGACTGATATGACCACAGAAGGATCTATAAACTCCTTTGACAGCAAGTTCCTGATAATAATCATGGAGCATGCACTAGTACAGCATATATCCCAACCCACACGTTTTGGTGTTAACCAGGGTTCTTCTCTACTGGATTTGGTAGTCACTCATGAGACTGAGGATATTGTCGACTTAAATATTCTCCCGCCGTTAGTGAACAGCGGCCACGCTGTTTTGTCATTCACGTTTCGAACTAGGGACATGTTATACGATCAGGTTACACCTCGCCCAAATGTATGGAAAGCTAACATATCAGCCATTCAGGAATGTGCTGCTAAGACAAATTGGTTAGTAGATACTAGCATATCAGTTGAAGAAGCATGGTCTGTATTTAAAGGTAAATTTAGACTAGTTACGTCCCCGTTCATACCATACCTGGTACCGCGAAGACCGAATAATAGTCCACCATGGATAACTAAAACGATCAGGAAACTCCTTAGAAAAAGGAAGAATCACTGGGATATGTTCATCTCTACTAGCTTAGAACAATACAGATCCAGTTATTGTAAGATTAGGAATGCCTGTAAAGCGTTAATAAGTAAGACTAGACTATCATACGAAAAACAATTAGTTAGGGATTCTAGATATAGTCCGAAACGGTTATTCTCGTATATAAAAAGGCGAACTAAGAGAAGTGATGGAATTCCATCACTTTTGATACGAGAAAATCCGTTAATCTTAGCAGAGAATGATGCCGAAAAAGCTGAAGCTTTATCGGAATACTTTTGTAAAGTGTTTTCTATCGGTAATGAGGAACGACCAATGATTCGTCGCGACCGTGACGGTTCGCTGATGGATCCTGTAGTCATTGAGAAAGATACTGTTTTAAGGCTACTCCAGCATCTCAAACCTGATAAGTCCAGTGGTCCTGACGATATTCATCCTAGGATTATAAAAGCCATATCAGATGAAATTGCTGAACCATTGGCGATACTATTCGACATGTCTCTGAGACAGTCCAGACTTCCTAGAGACTGGAAAGACGCCATAATAAGTCCGGTGTATAAGGCTGGGAGTAGGGATTTAGTTAGTAACTATAGACCCGTTAGCTTAACTAGTGCAGTTGTAAAAGTGATGGACAAAATCATTCGGATAGCTGTTATAAACTATGTTGAAGGGTAAAATCTTTTCTCCAGGGAACAACATGGTTTTCGGAAAGGCCTATCTTGCTTGACAAATCTTCTCATTGCACGAGAAGATTGGGCTGCGGCAAAAGATCGGAATGCTCCTGTGGATGTGATTTTCATAGATCTAAGTAAAGCCTTTGATAAGGTTTCCCACTCTGGTCTTAAATCCAAACTGAAACGTTTTGGAATCCACTATACAGTCATCGATTGGATAAGTAACTTTCTCCATGACAGGAGACAAAGGGTAAGGGTTAATGGGGCTCTCTCCTCGTGGGTACCTGTAAAAAGTGGGGTTCGCCAAGGTACAATCCTGGGTCCTCTTCTCTTTTTACTTTATGTAAATGAATTGCCAACTGTAGCAAAATCATCCGTTCTACTCTTCGCTGATGACATAAAGATTTGGAGACCCATACATAGTATGTCGGATAGGATAGTATTACAGGACGATCTTAGCTCATTGGTGGCATGGTTAGATAGGTGGTCACTAGAAGTAACTCCTAAT